GCGGGAGCACTGCTGCTCTCCCAGCACCGCACCCTCCTGAGTGCGCCACGGGCTCGGCCCAGAGTGTCACTTTCAATTCTGCAATTGGGGATGGTGGTGCAGGATGTGCTAAGAGGTTCTTTTCTCTTCCCAGGAAACAGATGGTAAAAATGCTTAAAACACTGCTACTTCCCCTAGCACCCTTCTGTGCCCCCACACAGCCCCACCCCAGCTCCTTTCCTAGGGCTGAATGGAATCAGCCCAGATGGGCTCTGGCAGTCAATTCTCTGTCCTTCTAACTCTGGGCACCAAGCTGGGTGGGATGAAATTCTGTATTTAGTGAGCTGTATTCCCTCTTCTCTCCACAAACTTCCCAGCCTTCTTCAATCTTCTATAACTTGTGCTCACATTCCTTTTTTAACACCCCAAGCACCATTTCTCAGGCTGTAGCTTAACTTATTCTACATCAATCCAATAGCAACACATTTCAACTGTGTGCTATGCACTGGGCCAAGCAGGGAGTGGAGGGGGTGAACAAGATAGGAACCCCACGATCCAGGCCTCACAGTCAGTTGGAGGAAATGTACTTGCCGATCTACAATCTCAGGGCAGAGAGAAGCTCTGTGCAGCTGGAGAACTAAGCCAGGGTTTGGGGAGTAGGTGGTTTTTATGGCAAGGCAGCTAAAGGGTCTCAGGCATTCTTTCTGAGAAGGTGAAAGGCATTCAGGTGGAGGAAATGTGGAAGGAAAGGCAGAGTTGGGGAGAGCTGGGCATGTGTGGGCAAGGACCAGTAGATACAGAACCTGGGAGATAAACCTGCAAGGGCAGGTGGGGGCTGCTCATGGAGGCTCTTGAATGTCAGGTTAGGAGATTGATCTGAATCCAGTGGGCAATGGGGATCCATTGAAGGTTTATGAGCTGGGAACCTTGAGCTATGCTTTATGAAAGTTAATTATGGTTGCGAGGAGGATGCCCTGGGTAAGGGAGGGGTAGAGGCAGGGAGACCAGTTAAAGGGTTGTAATGTTAGCGGAAGGGAGCAATAATGGGGCTGTAGGAGGGCAGTGGGGTGGAAGGAGTCGGCTCTCTGGTGTGATGACTGAAGTCTCCTTCTAACCACCCCCTCAGCCTAGGATTGATTTGCCTTTCCCAGTTCTCTTTTTGCTTTCTGGTTTTTCCCAGGTTAAGAAAAGAAGGAACAATAAGGTCCCCCTTCCTTTCCCTCATCCAGCCCATGTTCTCCTCTGCTGGGTCTCAGTGTCTGCGGCCCCTCGGTCAGCCTCTCCAGCTGGGGGACCTCTCCTCTTGCTCCATCCTTGTTTTCAGGTGCTCACCCCTGGGGACCAGGGAGCTGTGCCTGAGCAGGTTTGTCAGTAAATTGTAGAAGCAGCACTGATTTATTCTTAGAAGTTGTCTAACACCAAGGAACCTGCAAAAGGAGGGGAGACTATGCCCTTCCCAAGGGGACCCACTTAGAGTGGACCCAAAAGACCCATACTAGTGACACAACTAGAGATCTGCCGAGGGTTGGAATTTTCTCCCAGCTCAGAGAAGATCAGTGAGCCCCGTCTGTCCCACACAGTTGGTACGTGTAGAAGGTGCGTTGCCCGGGGTTTTGCTTCAGTCCTCTGCCCTAGACATGGCACTTGGAAGAGGGAGAGCTGGGATCCAGTTTTGAGCAGTGTTTAGTTTCCTTTGATTTGCGTTGGGGGGACAGTCCACCCTGAGAACACTGGAGTTTTCTCAGAGCAAGGGGGAGGGGATGGAATCTGGGACTCCATTTTCCTTGCATCTCCAGGGCCCTGGACAGGCAGCTCATCATCACCATGATGTCCACTGGACCCGTGAGAAGCGAGTGTCCAAGGGGATTCCCAGGTCCCGTTGGTGACACGTGGGGCTTCCCTAACATCATAGGTGAAGCCTCTCAGTCCCTCCCCTGGGGGCGGGGCTCCGGGCACCTGGGATCTACTCAGGTCCCCACAGGCCTCTGAGTACTGCACTTGCCCAGCCCAGGACGTGCCATGGGACAGCTGATCACCAAGTTGATGGGCATCTTTGGGAACCAGGGTAAGTAAGGGGCACACAGGGCATTCAAGCGATCGCTTTGATCCCGCTCTCTCCTGGAGCTACCCCAATCTGGAGGATGCACTAGGGGACCTCGGACTCTGAGAGTCCTGCGTGGGCGCTCCTCGCGGGCTCCAAGGTGTCCCCTAACTGCCCCTTCCCCCCCCTCCCGCCAGCTGCTCCCGGTCCCCGCGCTGCGCTGAGCCCCAGGGCGCAGGACTGGGCGAGCCTCCCGACTCCGGGCTAAACTGCCGGTTTCCTGCGGGTGACTTCGCGCTCTGCTCTTTCCAGAGACCCCTGCCCTTGGCAAGTCCAGAGAGTCCCAGACGTTTCAATCACTTTTCTGCAACTGTGAAGGGAGGTGGGGCTCAGCTCTCTTTTCTACCATCCGGGAGTGGCGCAGGTGTCCGGGCCGGGTGGGAAGCAGAAGCGGTGTGGTGGCCCGAGGTCCCCCAGTCTGCCGGCAACACCGATCTCCTTCCTGGGAGGCCAGGTGGGGACACACGGTCCCTTGGTCATCGGGTTTGGCCCTGACTCTGCCCTTCCCCCAGTGCCTCCAGAGCACAAGGTTATCATCGTGGGACTGGACAGTGCAGGAAAGGCCACCGTTCTCTACCAGTTGTAAGTGACTCTAGGATGGGGAAGGGCGGGGCGGGGCCTCCCACCAGACTGACTGGCATTTGGACCAATCACCGGAGCTCTTCCTCGGGTTACCAGGCTCAGCTGTAGCCCGGAGTGATGGGGAACGCGGGTGTGACCTTCCCAGTGTAGTGGCCCCTCCGCTGGCATTCGAATCCTGCACGCTATGGGCGACCCCAGCCCCCAGCCCCTCCCGAACCCAGTGACAGGCCTGATGGGAGTCAGAACCTTGTCGCCTGCCTCCCTGACCTTCGCTCCCCCGAACGGCAGGCCCCTCCTTTCTCACCCTGCCCCTGCGTTTGCCCGTTGACTTTCTCCCCTTCTTCAAACCCGAGGCCGACGGCGAGCTCAGCGCGGGCCGGCGTGGGGCCTGGGTGGGCTCTGTGCTCCGGGGCTGCCGGAGCCTGGCACGCGTGCTCGGGGCTGAGCAGACAGCCGCCGGAGCCCGCTCCCCGCTGGCATCTGTCCCGTTTTGGAAGCTCTGCAGTAACTTATTAGGACAAAGTTTCCCTGAAAAAGCAATATATGTAAATGGTTTTTTTTTTTTTTTTTTTTTTTAAAAAAAAATTGGAACAGCAGCAGAGTATACAGTGAGGAGTCAGTTCCCCTCTTACGGTGCAGCCGTGAGGGGCCCGCCTCGCCTGTCTCCGGGTGCCCAGGGTGAAGGCAGCAGTCATGCTAACCCTGGCGAGCAAGCTGAGCCGGATGATGGTCTCCAGCGGTCCCCGACAGCAGCCACAGCGTCTGACTCTGCTCCCAGGGTTTCTGTGGGAGACAAGTGGCTGGTCAAAGAGGTGGCAGAACGTGAAGCTAATTTACCTTGTACGCGGAAAGTGCACTTTCCTGATCCAAACAAGCTTCACTGCTTTCAGCTTAGCCGTAACCCCAGATGAGGGTGACCACCAGGGTGGGAAACTTCAGTCTGAAGTTCCCGATGCGGACAACATGGTGCCTCCCAAGGTGAAGTGCTTGGCCAGGGGCTGGCACCCCAGCATCACAGACACAGGTGAAATAAGTCTCAGTTGACGGAGAGAACATTCGATGGACGGCACTGGCGGGGCTCCCACGAGAACATTAAAGGGAAGCTCTGCAGTAACTTATTTACTTAGGACAAAGTTTCCCTGAAAAAGCAATATATGTAAATAGTTTTTTTTTTTTTTTTTTAAAGAAAAATTGGAACAGCAGCAGAGTATACAGTGAGGAGTCAGTTCCCCTCTTACGGTGCAGCCGTGAGGGGCCCGCCTCGCCTGTCTCCGGGTGCCCAGGGTGAAGGCAGCAGTCATGCTAACCCTGGCGAGCAAGCTGAGCCGGATGATGGTCTCCAGCGGTCCCCGACAGCAGCCACAGCGTCTGACTCCGCTCCCGGGGTTTCTGTGGGAGACAAGTGGCTGGTCAAAGAGGTGGCAGAACGTGAAGCTAATTTACCTTGTACGCGGAAAGTGCACTTTCCTGATCCAAACAAGCTTCACTGCTTTCAGCTTAGCCGTAACCCCAGATGAGGGTGACCACCAGGGTGGGAAACTTCAGTCTGAAGTTCCCGATGCGGACAACATGGTGCCTCCCAAGGTGAAGTGCTTGGCCAGGGGCTGGCACCCCAGCATCACAGACACAGGTGAAATAAGTCTCAGTTGACGGAGAGAACATTCGATGGACGGCACTGGCGGGGCTCCCACGAGAACATTAAAGGGTGTTGTTTGGGGATTAAATTATTTGTTTACTCATCTTTTGAATTTTGATGACCCACTGAACATTGAAGCTGCAGAACACCATTTGCGGAACAAGGAGGACTTGTGGAATAAAGTGGGTGATACATCGAGCGTTATGTCAGGTGACAGAAGAAGGTCACAGGCCCGTAACTGTGCGTTACCGTTTGTCTCTAACGTGAAACAGCAAGAGGTAGCTCTTCCTCGCCCCTGTCCTCACGCTCCCTCCTAGTCCCACTGGATTGTCCCAGTCCTGTGACCATGATGTCCTGTAGAAGACCATCTTCATGACTGCCCACTGTAGATGGAGCATTCAGCATAAATACAGCGAGAAAATGTGTTTGGGCTTCTAAAGAGTTGTCTGCTTACCTTGACATGTTTACTTTTTTGAAAAAAAAAGTTTCCCTCTCTCCCCTAACTCCCAGTTTTTCTCCTCAGAGGCAACCCCTGTTATAACTTCTTGGTAACCTTTCAGAAGCATTCTTTATGCATAAAAACGTGTGTGTTTTCTACGTCACTTTAAACAAAGCACCTCTCTGATGGCCCTCACTTGTGTCTGTCTCTTTTTCCTCATCCCTTGCTACTCATAGCGTGGCCCATAGACCAGCAGCATGGGCGTCATCTGGAAGTTTGTTAGACATGCAGAACCCTGGGCCCCAGCCCAGACCGACTGGATCAGAATCTGCATTTTGACAAGACCCCCCAGGTGGTTCAATTGCATATTAAAGTTTGCTCTAGTAAGTCTCCTCTCTCTGGGNACCCCTGTTATAACTTCTTGGTAACCTTTCAGAAGCATTCTTTATGCATAAAAACGTGTGTCTTTTCTACGTCACTTTAAACAAAGCACCTCTCTGATGGCCCTCACTTGTGTCTGTCTCTTTTTCCTCATCCCTTGCTACTCATAGCGTGGTCCATAGACCAGCAGCATGGGCGTCATCTGGAAGTTTGTTAGACATGCAGAACCCTGGGCCCCAGCCCAGACCGACTGGATCAGAATCTGCATTTTGACCAGACCCCCCAGGTGGTTCAATTGCATATTAAAGTTTGCTCTAGTAAGTCTCCTCTCTCTGGGGTCTAAGCCAGGGCAGAGCTTAGTCTCACTGTCTTCATTCCCTGGTGCCCAGCACAGGGCCTGGCTCCCAGCAACCTGGACTGAGTTGTTCTGAGTTAGATTCCACCTGCCTTGGAAGTAGAGGGGTGGAGAGGCCAGAGGTGGGAGTGGGCTGGGCTGAGCTCTTGTACCCTCTCCTACCACCCCAACCTGACAAATGAGGTGGTCCACACCTGTCCCACCATCGGTAGCAACGTGGAGGAGATCGTTCTGCGGAAGACCCACTTTCTAATGTGGAACACAGGAGGGCAGGAGGCTCTGCGCTCCACCTGGAACACTGAGGTGAGGAGGTCACCAGGGCTGGAGGGGTCTCCAAGGCAACTCTGTGATGTTAGTTGGTCACTTAACCTCTGTGAGCCTCCGTTCCCCCACCTGTGGGATAAAGATCATAATAATGATCTT